ACAACAAGCAACGTGGTGGTCGTGAGCAAAGCGTGCCTCGGCGCACGAAAAGGGAAGAATCGCGTCCAATTCTCTCTTACCGTGCCTGCCAGACTGACGCCAAGTTTAAACGAAGGACCGGTGGGGCATCCTGCCGCTGACGCCAAGTTTAAAGGAATGCCCGCCCGACGGTGGCTTGCCTCCTAGATGTAGTAGATGTAGATTCTGCCGTAGACACTCTTGTCCACGAGCACGTTGAGATGGGAAGGTTGCTTGTTATTGCAGAAGCGGGTCTGCTACAGGTCTGAGGTGAGGCGGATTGCCCTCAACCTGGGGGCACGCAGATAGCTAAGTCCCGATGGGGTACGTCCTANCATACAGCAACACTCCTTCACAAACAACATCATATAATTTTTTGCGATTTAATGCTGAGCGCGCAATTCTTTTCAGTAGAGATGTATTATGTAATAATAATACCATACTCGGCTCATGAACGCATGTAGGATACCATGAGGATTGTCATTGGTTTTATTTCAAATTGAAGAGGAGATATTTTTACGATGTAAGTGACAGTAGAAATAAGTCCTACATGTATATATATGTTGTACTTCGTATTGGTTAAATATTCATGTAAGTATGAGACATTATTAAGTGAAAGTTTTCTGAGGTATATCTGCAATAATAAAAATGTCGGAAGGAAAAAAATATATATATATTCGACCACAATTATTATACGAAGTATATTTTTAGGAGACAGACGTACGTACGTACGTGTTGTCGTATTGACTTTTACAGTGAGAGGCAGCGTATGTATGTATATACAATCGCATATACCACTCGCTCTATCCCTCTCTTTTTTTCTCAGTCTTCGCTTTGCCCCCCGATCGTTGCCGTGCGTGTTTCTACGCAACAATAAATACATATCAAATAGAGTAGGCCCATGTCTATGTTGCTTCCGGCACTACATCATGATCAGAAGATAAAGATGGCGCTCGCACTTAAGGACTTGGCAGTTAGGAAATGCGACCTCGAAAAAAATCAAAATCAAAGAAATTGACCACATACATACATACATTATACAGCACGGCTACTTGGGACAACGTTGTCCCAATTTTTATTTGGGACAACACGCCTAACTCGGCGTAGAAAGCTCGGATCGACCTCAAACCAAGTTTGTTGTAATCCTACTGGACACAGCTTTCACGGAATGTATGTTGAGTCCACAACGGAGCCGGGGCCGAGGAGATAGAGCCGCCTAAAAAAGAGGCTCCGTGGCTTCGGTAAATCCACGTTTGTTTTCCTCCATAACAAGGAGCCCCTTTTTTAGGCTCTATCTCCTCGGCCCCGGCTCCGTTGTGTACTCAAAATACATTCATTCCGTGAAAGCTGTGTCCAGTAGAATTACAACAAACTTGGTTTGAGGTCGATCCGAGCTTTCTACGCCGAGTTAGACGTGTTGTCCCAAATAGCCGCGCTGTACATTATAATAATATCAACACGTACGTGCGTGCGTGCTCAGGCCCGACGTCGACGACGTGGTGTTAAGAAAAAGAATGAACCCGCCTTTCTTTGCGGTGCAAGAACAGAGGCCCCAAAACGCGACAGCTGCAAGTTAATATGCACTCACTTACGAAGGGGTGAGGGGCTACTCGCGGGGTGACCGGTGGGCAGTTAGTTGCAGATCAGCGGCGACGAGGAGGTTCCTTTGAAAATAGTACTAGTGCGAAGATGGGGGGGATGTACTGTTTTTTTTTTTGCGCGTCTAACGGTAGACTAGTCAACTATAAAATCGGGCTTACAAATGCCGGCACACTTGAAGCTTTTTCTTTATTGCCGCGAATGTCCAAAAAATCGGTGTGCCGTGTACTCAGTGGACACCGGCTGGTACAGAGTTTTCGCGGCAAGGCATGGACATTCTCGAGCTTGGACAACCTCGCCTGCAACCAAGCACATATACAAATGTCCCTTAAGGGTTTGGGCCGGCGTTTCCGAACCCTGCCTGACGTTGGGGGTTGGCAACAGTGCGCCCGACCGGGTTACGCAGGTTGTACAACGCCTAAGGGTCCCCCCCCGTAACCGTGCCCACTGGCCACCTGTGTACAGGCATGGTATTTTGTTATAAGTTATTATAGTCCCTCTCGAAAGAAGTGCTCAAAGAAGTTGAGACTGAGTACTGTATTGAGTGTCCGCGCAGAAACGTGTTTGCTATTTTCTCGCTCTCCCTGTCTATTTTCCTCGACCTTTTGCATGACACGCATCAGACTCCTTGATCTTCGAAACTGCTGTACTTCCATGTAGCACAGCGTGGAAGGAAGGTACACCACATACATGGAACTAATACGAGTCTAATGAGTGAGGCAATCCGGATAACGATCCATACGCATTAAAATGTACCAGTGCCTACCCTGGTGTGCAAACATACATACATACGGACGCACGAACTATAGCGCATGTTAAGTGCACGATACACTCACATACATGTATTTTTTCACGCGTGACAGGATTTCAGCGGTTGGTTGGTTGTTGTTGTTGTTGTTGTTGTTGTCTTCACATCTTGTCAGGTGCTAATCCCAAAATCTAGCAAATACGCGGTCCGTGGTCACAAAAATGCTAGAGCCATAAATGCTAGAGCCATCAGAAGATCTAAAGAACACGCTTGGGATTCACAAGCCTGTTGGTATGTCCGTACTTGGGAGAAGTCACGCTTTAACTCTCTCTGATTAGGCACCCGCGGGAGCGAGGAAAGGAGGGGAAGAAGTGGCCCTCCCGAATTCGGGGAAGGGGGCCCACACATAGTAGCCTTTTTCAGGCATACGCATGCTCCTGTCTACGTACCCCCCCGTGCTGCTAGCAGATCTACCATGCTCGTATCCAGACACACGAACACCCTCCCCGGTTCGTCAAGCTATTGACAAACCATCAGTGGGGCATGGATACTCCAGATCTACTTAAGTTACTCATACAACAACGGGTGCAAGGGAAAAACTCGGCCATCCGGATCAAAAACCCTCGCCTACAAACTCAAAACATAAAAGAAACCGTCGCTATCACAAAGGATTCCAACGGCCGCACTATCAGGGCAGGACCAAGGCAGGACAGATTGGACAGGCCACGCTGATTACACACCCGAAGCAATTGGTCAAAAACCCTAAGCTCCCGCCGCGGGTGACGCCCCTGCCCAACGCTTCCTGCGTGACATACCATGGTCAGAGACGCGCCCAGTACTAGAACAAAACAAAACAAAACGCCACGAAAACGAAACCAGAACCCTACATCGGCAGGTTCATCAGAGCCTTCCGGTGGTACTCCAACTTGCCCCTACCAAGGACCTTGGTCAGCATGTCGGCGTGCTGCTCTTCTGTCGAGATATAATCTGCGGTGATCTTGCCCGCCTTGACGAGCTCGCGGATGAAGGGGAACCGCACGTCGATATGCTTGCTCCTGGTCGAGCTGAAAGGGTTCTGCACCAACGCGAGAGCCCCCTCGTTGTCCTCACGGACCCTGATCGTGGCACCGCTCGTCTCGGGCGCAATGAACGACAGAACACCACGCACGAACAACGCTTCCTTCACGCCCTCCCCGGCTGCAATATACTCTGCCTCCGTGGTCGACTGAGCCGTCACTGGCTGTGTCTTCGTGGATGCGCACACTACGGTCCCACCTACAGTCACGGCTAGCCCCGTCGTCGAACGCCTGTCAACGGTGCTGTCGGCGTAACTAGAATCGACGAACACGTCTAGGTCTAGCCCTGATCCGCGGACGTAGGTGATCCCGAGGTCCTTCGTCTCGTTGAGGTAGGACATGATCCGCACAAGCGCGTTCCACATCCTCTCGGTGGGTGAGTGGGCGAT